CTGCATTAAATTATTAAATTTACAAATTACTAAGACTACAAGATTGCAAAGGCACAAATTCAGTTCCTGTCTTTCCCATCAGTAACAGACAAGCAAGGATAAAATAACATTTTCAGGCCCTCTGAGTCCTAACAAACATTCACCAGGTTTCTGTTAAATGCCTTCCTGAGCACAACATCACCTGCACAGTGAAAAACTTGCAGTGCTGACTGGTAAAGCCAGACAAAGGATACAAATGACAGGGAGGAAAGCCCACAGGCGTGAGAGAAAATCTGGCTGCATGAAGGTAAAACTCATCTCCGAGCAGGAATCAGGAGCTGCCCAAATTCAAAGGCAGCAGAGGCAGTCTCTGGATCTTGGCTCATTTTTTGGCTCCAGGGCCACTTGGGCTCAAGGGGAACAGGTATGCAGGGATATTCATGGTCCGGGAGGCTCTGCTGAGAGGGCCTAAACCTGGGAATAAAATTCTTCCCATCCTTCCTTTGTGATTGGTGTCAGATCCTGGCCCTGGGAAACAGAGATACTTCATGGCCTCTTGCTAAACTGTGCCCATCTAGAACTAGTTTCCAGGCTTGCACTCAGTTATTTTCAGAGCATCCCTGCAGTGGGTCAGTACATCTTTTATTTGGGCTAACCCAGTTTTTGTGTCTTTGCTTTTCTGAAGATCACATGGCAAGTAACCCTTCTCTGTGTGCCAAAAGGAGCACTCTCCTTCCCTGTTTCAAAAGTAGCACATTCATTCCTCACTGAGAAAAAGTCATTCTCTTCTCCCACCCTCTTGCCCAATTGCTCTTGTGATACCAGGTTGATGGTTTCATTTCCACCTCTCTACATGCAAACCCACCCAACCTGCTGCTATCAAAATCACATTTTTAAATCAAGATGGTGTTTCTAGAAATAAGAGGTCTCTGCAGGGAAAATTGACCCTGGCTTCAAATTTGCAGCCAATTTCCTTCTTTCTGTTGCCTTGTGCAGGTAAAGACAGAGAAAGCAGCATCATTATTGGGGGCCACCCACCCGCTGGTGCCCAGGGACAGTGCAGATCCTCTCTAAGGCCAAGGCAGGCTCCCAGTTGCTCTGTGATCTGCAGCAAGTGTGAACCAAAAGGCATTATCCTCTTGTTTCCCGTGGGAAAACCGGACAAGCCCCTCCACCAGGGATGCTTCAAGCAGCTGTTTGGCTCAGCCAGCTGAAAAACACTAGGGAGAGAAGCACTTATCTCCATTTGCCTGCTATTAGCCTGTACTAGACATGTCTTTCTGGCAGCATGCAAGGACAGACAGGGAAAATTTTTTCCCTAAGCAGGGGAAGTTTTGACTGTCAACCCTCCTATCACAAAATATGCAAAGCAGCAGGAACTGAATGCCTCCCCAGCATAATGAAGAGGAGGAAAAAAGTCATGCAGCACTAATCAAATTTTGATAAGCTCTTCTAGGTGGTGAATGAAGCTACGCCAGAAAAACTATTATGAACACCATGCTGGCACACAGATGTCCCCAGTGCTGCTTGAAGGTTGTCCAAAGAGGAAAGCTCTGGTACTTTCCTATGAACCTTACATTTTATCCCACTGTACCCACTTGGGTGTGCAAGTCTGTGATAGTGTCAGCTAGAGACGGTGTCCCTTGGCTTCTTCAACACATTCATCACAGTTAAAGCTGCCAGTTGTGAGTGACATAGTTTCTGGGGAAAAGAAAGATTTTATTTCTCAGAAAAGAGAACTGGCTTTTGGTATAGACTTAGATGACCCCTTGTCTTCCCATCTTCTTAGGCAAAGGAGACATATTTTTCCAAACAAGACTTCCTCGTTTTCTCTCAGCTTATTAGAATTCCATTAAACATGAGCACCAGCATGCTGGATGCTGGGTTTGGAGCCATTTCATGTTTTTTGGAGGTTAAAAATATTCAGAAACCACCCTAAGCCCCTGTTCTAGCTGTCATCAGCTAGGGCTGAGAGGCAGGTGGCTGTAAAATTGCCAGGAAAGCTATAAAGCATTTTATATTTAAAAAAAAAGAAAAAAGAAACAAATCCCATTTCAGTGGATTCCATTAGACACCAGAATTGCATTTGAAGTTATTAATTTTAAATAGTGGTCCTGGAAAGTCCTATTGATGGGATTTAATTATTCAGATGAAATCTGAAGTGCCTCCACTTTACTGAGCCCTGCAGCTGCATCATTAATAAGACTTCTATCTAAAGCAACTTCCTCCTGGGTCAGGTAAAAGACACTGAGTTATCTACAGTATTTTAGAACCTTACCCTGGGCTTTGCATGACAAGAGGTGCAAATGTAATCAGCTGCATGTGACAGGACATGAACCTAAATCAGCTCAACAGAAACATCAAGCTACTGTGGCAGGTGGGTGCAGAGAGCACTGTGGGACAGTGCAAAAGTCATGGGCTCTGGCACCAGTGCCGAGCGAGGCTGGCATCTCCTTGGGAAAATGCTTGCCCTCTATACCACCAGACACACAGGCCAGATGATAAAAACCTCTGGTTCCTGCTTCAGTAGCAGTTGAAGAAGTCATGTTTCCAAGGGCTCAGTGGCTGGCCAGGGAACAAGCAATGGGCTCATGGAATGCTTTTGAAGATCCTCTTCATGTTCCTCTGAACCCTAAGTAGAAACCCTGAGCCAATTTTGCCCAGAACTGCATTCTCTGCACTGTTTTGCCCACCATTTCTTCAGGAATGCTATGAATCTACCCCAAAGCATACCAAACCAATACAAATGGTGATGGCAGCACTTGAAGAGATCCTGGACATGCTTTGGGCAGGAGAAAGAGAAGGGCTGGGGTGAACAGCACTGCTGCTTGCCTCTTCTCTCTGGAAGGGGAGCAGCGTTGCTGTACATGTGAGGCAGGAAGATGGAGGCTTGAGGAAATTTTGGATTGCAGTAGGATAGAGACCTCCACCCAAAGGTGGGAGTCTGAAGAGGAGGTGCCTCCCCAGAGCCACTTGGCATCACACCCTATAAAATCCAGAGCCAGGCCCCACTTTCTCATAGATAGGTCTCATACTGTGAGTCCTAAATGCTTTGCTTGTACCTTCCTAGGCACAGCTTTCATAGACTCACAGGAAGGTTTGGGTTGGAAGGGGCCTTTAAAGATCATCCAGTCCAACCCACCTGCCATGGGTAGGGACATCTTCAACTAGATCAGGTTGCTCAGAGACTCTATGGCTTTCTGCTCACAGCTTTCAGGAAAGGCTGACCCAGAGCATAGCGTTTCCTAATCAATCTTATAACCAGCAATGAATTTTTAAGGCCAACATGAATCCCAAATCTTAAAAAATATTACTTGTATATATTAAAATTATTATGTACCAATATATTTCATAAAAGTGTTGCTGCCTGTAGCCTTGGTTTATGGGAAATACAGAGGGGGTAAAAGAATGTGATTTGTTTGCCACTGATGCCACAAAAGCAACTGGATGGTGAAATGTAACCTGTGGAAAGCCAGCAGTGAGCTGAACAAGTGGATACTTATGCTCTGGCTGTTTAAGTATCTTGCAAAGCTTGGTTCTGACAAAAAGGATGTTGCAATTAACTTGCGAAGTCCGCTTGGAGTTTTGAAGTGAAAGGTGACTGTGAAGCAGCAGCTGTCCAGATTCAGGTGTCAGGGAAATCTTGCTGAGCTGTCTCAGTGCTTGGTCAAGGCCCATGCCTTCAAAGTCATGGCACAAACAAGAACTGAGCTGGGCACATTTAAGTGGATCTTCATTTACTGCTCCACGAGTCATGGGGATTGATTCATGCCTACCTTCTCATCACTGGCAGAAAGGTACTTAGTAGCCCTAGCCCAGATCCTAATTTCTTCTGAATTCCTGTTTTCTGATTTTCTGTGCTCCCAGTGTTAGACTTGGACAGTGCTTCTTCAGCATGTCACATAGTGCTATGCAAATACTTCCTAAAGCCTTTTTGCTACCAAACAACTAAAGCAGATCTGCTTGCTAGGATGAGGCTGTCTGGCCTGAGCCATATTCAATCCCATTCACAGGAATTGCTCATCACTCTTCCCATTCTCTGACCTGTGACACCCACTAGGTGCACAGAGAATTTTCCAGAAATTGTTGGTGTTGATATTATTCTTGTCAATGGAACCTCCCTTTTGCTCACAGATTAAAGTTGAGGTAAGCAAACTGGAGATATCTAGGTGACAGTTATTGGGGCTTTCTGACTTAAACCATAATTGATGTTTATATCCTCCCTAGATACCAGTAAGCCAGGAGAACTTTGGTCTCAGCTTCCTGCTGCTTTCCAAATCCAAAATAAAATCCTTATTTAAATGCTGCTGGTTATGCCCATACAGTTCGGATCTGTTCATTCCATGGAGGGCCTTAAGGGGCTGTTTCAGTCTCCGACATCCCTGGATTTCTCTTTCTTACTGTCAGCACTGACAGTCACCTTCTGCCTGGCTACCCTTGGCTTCCTGTTCCACCACTCTGCACTTTGTTTTTTCTGAGCAGATGGAGCATTCCCCACTTGGCTCTCTCTACCATTTGCTCTAGGTGGCTTTTCAGTGACTGCCTTGCTTTCCTCCCTGAAATGAGTGCTGAAGTGGCCTTTCAGCTTAGCTAATAAACTTTTAAAGAACTGCCAAACTGCACTTAGGTTTCTCCATCAGCTTCCTCTCCCGTTGGTTTCATTCCATCACTTCCTGGCTTTGGGAAAGGAGCTGTACCGGAACGAAGCAGCGTTCAAGGCCAGGTTGGATAAAGCCTCGAGCGACCTGGTCTAATGGGACATGTGCCTGCCCATGGCAGGGGGGGGTTGGGACTGGATAATCTTTAAGGTTTATCCCAACCCCTTAACATTCTATGACTCTATGAAGCTGCCGACTGGATCGCCTGCCGGGGAGTGCAGGTGGTGAGCGCTGGGACAAGCGCCGGCTCCCCGTGGGAGCGGGGTAGCCCACCCACCTCCGGCACGACCCGTAAAGGAACGTGTTTTGTTTGTCGCTGATGCCACAAAAGCAACTGGATGGTGAAACACAAACTGTGGAAAGCCAGCGGTGAGCTGAACGGGTTCGTACCGGTGCCCCTTAAGTATCTCGCAAAGCTTGGCTCTGACACAAGGGGGCGTTGCTATCAGCTTGTAAAGCCCTTTCGGAGCTGTGAAATGAAATGATAAGGCGGCTGTGAAGCAGCAGCTGCCCACACGCAGGTGTCGCAGCCGGAGGAGAGCTGCCTCATATCCACAGGGTGTTCTCCGCAGGGACCGCCGACACTCTCCCTGCCCGCCCGGGGCGCCCCTGAGGCGCCCCCGCCCCGCCCGGCCCGGAGCGCCGCGGCCAGCCGGGACAGCACGGCCGGCAGGGTACGGCAGTGCCCGGCAGGGACCAGCAGTGCTCATCAGGGTACAGCACTGGCCGGCAGGGGCAGCACGGCCGGCAGGGTAAGCAGTGCCCGTCAGGGGACAGCAGTGCCCGTCAGGGTACAGCACTGGCCGTCAGGGTACAGCAGAGGCCGTCAGGGTACAGCAGAGGCCGTCAGGGT